TCCTTCCTTCTCATTAGGTGGCCAAAGTATTTGAGAAGGAAGGACTCCCTGGAGAAGAGCCTAATGCTGGGAACAATAGATGGCAAAAGAAGAAGGGGGCGGCAGAGGATGAGGTGGCTAGATTGAGTCACTGAAGCAGTTGGTGTGAGCTTAAGTGGACTCCACGGGATGGTGGAGGACAGGAAGGCCTGGAGGAATGTTGTCCGTGGGGTCGCGATGGGTCGGACATGACTTCGCGACTAACAACAATAACAAATCTCTGTATAATATATTTCTAAAACCTCATCTGGTTTGTACATAACAAAAACCTAGAGAATAGGTGGAGTTTGAGTTTGAGACCCTAAACGGCTTGGGTCCTGGTTACCTGAAGGAGCGCTTGCATCCATATATGCCCAGCCGCCCCTTGAGATCGGCGGGGGAGGCCCTTCTCCGGGAACCCTCCATGAAAGAAATTAGGAGGGTGGGTACTCGGAGGAGGGCTTTCTCTGCGGTGGCGCCTAAGTTATGGAACGCGCTCCCCAGAGAGGTCCGCCTGGCGCCGTCGTTATTTGTTTTTCGGCACCAGGCAAAGACCTTTTTATTCAAGCGGCATTTTAACTGTTAACATTATTGGTTTTATTTGGCCAGGGCGGCTTATTTTATACTGTATTGTTGTATTTTAATTTAATATTTATATTTTTAATTTATATTATAATTATTTTAACTTGATGATGTGAGCCGCCCCGAGGCTTCGGCGAATGGGGCGGCATAAAAATGTTTTAATAAATAATAAATAAATAAATATTTATTACATTATTATACTATCAAATAGATGCTCTCTGCATGGTGCACAATTTAAAAACAATTTAGAACATAGGATACAGTGTAAAAGACTGTATGGCATTTTAAATAGTGAATACCACAATATAAAATTGAAGTGAGCACAACCTAGAATTTACAGTCCAAAAACGGGATGGATTCTCTGGGTTGTTCATGGTTCAGAGCCCACAGTTAAACCATAGTACATGGTTCACACATAAAAGCAATGTACAATTAAAAAAAAATCACTAGTAACCCAGAGTCTGAGTTGTCACTACATGATAATCAGGCTCATGACTATGATATAACCTACCTCAGTGTGACCTGAAGTGGCCGTTAAAAAGCCAATGTGACTGCATTGTATTAATATCTTTAAACAGATTTTTTAAATGGAAAAAAGGCACTTGTCTAGGAAGCGAAACACTGATAGAGGATAAAATTGACCAGGACATTAATAAGCAATCCTTTAATTTGGTGAGGAAATGGGGGCAATAGTTTCAAGTTTTCTGTGTAGGCATCTCACTTGTGTGTCATGGAAATAATCCTGTGATTACTGGATTGTTCATGTTTGTGCATTCATACAAGTTTAAGAATTTACTTGTGTCAGCAGAATCAGTTCCCCCCCCCCCCCAATTTTTCCACCTCTTAGTGTGGTGCTAGTGTAAAATGGTGGCAAAATATTAATGCTGAATTTTGAGATACCAAAGTCTATCTTAATAGTCAAACTGGGTATGATGCTAAATGCACCACTGCAGCCCATATTTAGTGAAAACAAGCAAACAAGCAGCAGACATACTTAGAGGTACGGTGAGGTTTTCATCAAGACCATAGTGTGTGGGAGGGGGTTGTGCCTCTTACTTGCAAAACCTCATAGCTGTGAAGGTGCTCTGTTCTTCTGGACTCATGGGTGTGGGAAGAAAGGTTAAGCCTCTCCTTCATGCATGCTGAACTACCAGAGAAGCTGGAATCCCTTTACGTTATGTATGCACCACTTTGACACAGTTTCCATCAAAGTGTTTATTGGAGCATCTATTTTGGTTCCAAGTTCTTGAGTAATTCTAATGATCCATGGGTACCTTAGTTCAACTAGTACGCATGGAATAGGTACTATAAACTATTCCTAGGGCTATGGGTACTCTATGCCAAAGCAATCCAAGCTCTGCACCAAGGTAGCTTTAATTCTATGATAAATGCGAATATCAGTTTCCATAACTTATCTACTACTTTTGGTGTAATTTAATTTTAATTTAATTTAATAAAACATTTTTATCCTGTCTTTTCACAAATGTCTCAAGACAGCTTACAGAATATAAAATTAGAACCATACAAATGGAGAGGTCTGCCTGGCGCCATTGTTATTTGTTTTTTGGTGCCAGGCTAAGACCTTTTTATTTCAACAATATTTTAATAACTTTTAATATTAGCTATTTATGTTTTAATCTGCAGCCAGGGTGGATCTGGAATTTATGTGTATTATGTTTTTATTACTATTTTTGTTTATTTATGTAAGCTGTCCTGAGGCTCTGTGGAAGGACGGCATATAAATATTTAAAAAATATACAATCCATAATATAATAAATAGCAATAAATATATCATGATAAATACAATCATTACTAACAGAATAACATTAAACCAATAATAAACAAAAGAGGATAAGTCACAATCATGAAACAATAAATAACAATAGATAAAATAATAAAGTAAAAATAAAATTAAATTTGACTGTTAAGTTTATAAATCTAAAAACTCTAATTCTTAAAATAATGTTCAAATAAAAAGATTTTAACCTGGCACCGAAAAAAATATAGGCTCGGTGCCAGGCAAACTTCTCTGGGAAGGGCATTCCACAGTTTGGGCACCACTACAGAGAAGGCCCTACTCTGAGTAGATGCCTTTTTACCTCCTTCAAGGAGGGTTCCCGGAGCAGACCCTCTTCCGCAGATCTTAAGCGGCATGAGGGCATATAAGGAAGAAGACGTTCCTGGTCCCAAGCGGTGTATGTTATATCTTGGCTGAAAAATATAAGTTTCCTAGGTGCTGCTATTAGATATTCAGGACTATGCCTATCATTAGTACTTACCTTTGGATATGGTGTGTCTTTAACTCTCTTGATATTTCCCTCTCTTTCTCTCAGTATGTCTCCTCACTGCCACCAGGAATTTAAACCCGATCCTATTAATCTTGCCCTACATTGTGCCCAAGCTGTAAGGCTCCTTTCTTGGACTATGTGGTCCTGAGAAAGAGACACTGGTATTTACACAGCCTATGACTCTGGGTTAACAATAAACAAAATAAAACTTTATTTGTACAATAAACTTACTAGTTTCAAGATGTAAATCAAACTCCAGAATAAAAATGCTGGATGTTTGTGTTAGTAATATTCACGTTCATCGATATTCTAATATTTTGAGATTATGGTACTAAAGATGCAAAAATGAATATTTATGTTAAACATTTGAAGGAAATATAGTTCCATCTATCCCAGTACAGTAAACCCTAAGTGTTAGAGAATTTTAAATGCCATTTCTGAAGGCTCAAATGAAGAACACTATCATTTGCTGCTGAGCATGTATACGTACTGCATGTACGTATGAAAATTCAGATACTTCCCGTTTCAGTAAAGAACTTCCATTTTGTAGAAAGATTCGGTTTGTGCTCAGAAATGTACTCAAGTTTTCTCAAGATTTTCTTCATTTGTAACTTGCATTAAAGCTTAACTAGGAGCATCTTAAGCATGTAATTTGGTCTTGATGTACTTAGCTATTTAATATGGAGGGCCCTGATTTTGATCAGGCTGTGCCAAAGGGCAGGGCAGGGCAGGGGGTTTAAATTCATTGTCCCTGAGGTTATCTGGATTTGGATTTTTCTTTCTGCTTCCAGTGTGAATCCAGGAGGAAATGTGTTGCTGGGGAGGATAACTTTCTTTCCATGCATTTTACTAGTAGCAGCTGCAGGTGAGGGCAAAAATTTAAATCCACTTATGCCCAACACTGCAGCCCCAATCCAAAAGGCTTCCCCTACTGCACAGCTGCTACTTAAAAAAAAAAAAAAAAAAGCAACACAGGTCAGTCATGTGCTTAATGCCCTATTCAGGTTGGCCCTAGGATCATATGTTTATCACGTTGTAAGCCGCCCCGAGGTTTCGGCAAGGGGCGGCATAGAAATGTAATAATAATAATAATAATAATAATAATAATAATAATAATAATAATAATAATAATAGAAAAAAGTGCATAAGAAATATCACAGTAATACTTATTTCACTGACAATGCATATAAAACCTTGTACATGTTGCTACATAGTTTCACTATTGGAAATGACCTGTCACTGAAAATAGCTTATTAGTGAGATTACCTTATTTAGGCTTCCCAATATGAAGCCCTGTAGATATTTTGGACCTTAGGTCCTGTAGTCAGGACTTATAGTTCAAATCATTCAATAGCTGCCCCCTCCAAAAAAAAAAAAAAAACACCCACCAAAAAACACAATTTAGAAACCTAGTATAAACAATTAAAATTACGAAGATAACCATAGTGTCAATAAAATCAGTTCGTATACCTTGATGTAAAACTATGCTAATAAACTGACCTAATCCAAAATTTGCCTTAATTCTGCCTTGTTTGACTAACACAGAAATATACTGCATACCATGCCAATATACTACATCTTCATTTCATGAAGGCACTGTTCAGTTTTCCTCCACTGTCCCATTCACTGTGGTTGGTACCTTCCTCTGCCATTGGTAGCATCCTGCCTCTCAGCTTTCTTCTGGGACTCCTGTTTTAATCCTTTCTCTTAACCTGGGAAGATATAGATGACAATTTCTCTTTTCAACCTCATACACACTTACAGTTTTGATTTACTTCATTGTAGTGAGGGCCTCTTTGTGCACTTCTTTCAAGACCCCAGGACATTTTGTGCATGTTATATACAAAGTGCCTTGCTTCCTCATTTTCATCCTCAGAGGCTACATTAGGTTGCAGAACAGAGTTTGATGGGTTATGTATGCATTCAGTTACTTGAACACATATTGCTAACTGAAGTAGAAATTATTTAAGTGCACTTTATGTGCTAGTCAAAAATCTCATGATTCTTTTTTGTACCTTAGATCCTCTATCAATGGGGCCACAGAAAGCTCTGGAAACTATTGGTGCAAATTTGCAGAAACAGTATGAAAACTGGCAACCAAGAGTAAGTACATTTTATGTTTCTGTGAGTTCAAAGTCTCCTTTTCTCCAGCACTTGCATACATTTCTGGTACTTTGGGTTCAGCAAGTGCTTTTACACTTGCATGTTATACGACTTTTTAATTTTTTGAGTCTGTATTGAAAAAAAAAACCTGAATTAAATAAATAAAATTCAATTAAACATTAGCATTTTTGAGTAAGAATGAAAAGGTCTATAACACTAGTTTCATATAAGAATTATATCATTATGTATTAATGTCTAACAGGGCATTATACATTGTTGTTATTAATTATGCATAGGTTTCAACAAAAGCATCACAAATATGCTGTTGTGGGAATAAGATTGAGAACAGGGGGAGGAGAATTATGTAAGTCACTTTGAGTTCTTTAAAAAAGAAAAAGGCAGGCTATATATCTAATAAATAAATAAATCAATATTCATATATTAATCCTTTTATAGATTATGCCTAAAGGCTACCAGTTCAAAGATCAAAAGTTTAATTATATCCTTCAACCATTGTGTTATTTCAGGTGACTTATGTAACTTAATGACTTTGCAATATTCATAGCTTTCCTGTCCATTTATGTGGAATATAATCTTGCAAGTTCTGTAAAGGTATTATGTTTTGGTTGAACTAATATTATTTATAGGCAGTAATACTTGTTAAAATCAGAATTTCAAGTTTTTAATTTGCGTTAAACATTTCTTTAATTAGTATCCCTTTTTTAAAGTCGTTGGAACAGTTGTTAGTTTTTGGTTCTGCAAACTAATCTGGAATTGACCATCCAGGTAGGAGTGGAACTACCACACTGCAGTAACTCCCAACTCCCAATACAGCCTCTTTCTGTTTAGAGTTCTGCAAACATCATATCAGAAATGACTCTAGAAGGCTATACCTCCTATGTGTCATGATGTAGGCTTCCCCCTACATCATGTGTTCAAAACCAAGACAGTCTCTTTACAATATAGCTCTTTATGTCAAAGCACAAATAGGAAGCTACAGCAATGGAAAGACTAGTCTCTGTGCATGAACAGAGTGGTTAGTTGACCCCAAACTAGAATCTATTTCCAAAAGCCCTCCTTTTTGTTAATGGTGAACTCCACCCCTTTGGGTGGGTTCTACTTTAGAAGGGCCAGCCTTTGCAGTCTATATAGGCCCTCTAATTGGGTAGCTCTTCTATCTCAACCATGTCATGGGGTCAGGGACCAGGCAGGACATGAGCTCATCTTCCCCCTCCCTTCACTTCCATGCCCTGCCTGTTCCCATGATCTGTCTGACAACCTGTGGGTTGCCTTGGTACACTCTCATCCTCCTCTGCCCCCTTGATTCCCATACACCCCAGCTCCAGTCTTTGAAAAGCTCGCCAAGAGTAACTCTTTTATCCATTCCCAACACCATGTTTGTAAGAAAAATGAATTATTTCAAGTCTTTCCACTCATTTATTCTCCTGGGACACCTTTACTATGTAAGTACAGTGTGGTTTTGGAATTAAAAATGTGATTGTACTTCACTTGCTTTGTCTAAACATGAGATGGGCAATTTGAGACCAGATGTTTTGGTCTGCAACTCCAATCGTTCCTCACTATTTGGGTATGCTTGCTAGGGTTGATGTGAGTTACAGGCCAAAAGAATTAGAGGGCCACAAGTTGCCCACATGTGGTTTGAACCTCTTTCTTTGGTACTTTTTCATGCTGTTTGATACAGTGCTGTTTCAAAGTAATATAAATATTCAGAAACCTGTAGGCTGAAGTCATAGTTCAACCATGTTAAACTCACACACTCTCAGCTGCTCTTTCTATTCTGGAGTGCACATGCTTTGTATATCAGTGAATGTTTAACTGAAACTTTGTGTGTGTGCTCAAAAAAAGCCCCAGTGCATGCTCATGACTGCATTGTGTTTCGTGTATATTAATAAGAGCTGTGCTATTTCATACATAGTTGTGATTTAAGCTGTAACTGTAAATGTGAGAATGCATATAAATATAATTGTTATGGATTCTTTGAATACATTGGTTGGTCCTGCACTTCTTCCAGGATTGTACATGTCTGAGCAAAAGCCTAAAGTGTGCCTTTACTTTTGTGTGCAGCGAATTTGTATGCATAAAGAGAGAGGAAGAAAGGATTATGTGAGTCCTTGGCTCAATCCAGGCTTATGTATATGATGTCAAACCACAGTTTGGTGTTTCATTCTTGGTTGATCTAAGCTACCTTTGTCTATCAGCAATGAAGCCATTTTAGTACAAATATGTACATGTAACAGACTTGAGTATTTATGAACCAAAAGTTATGAAACATCTTTTTCTACAGGTGGCATGAGATTGTAAGGAATTTTTGTTGTTGTCTTTCTGTTTTTCTTTAGCATTCAGATGAGTATGTTTCACATGCATTGCTCGTCAATGGAACTCCTGAGCTCTTGTTCTGTCAAACAAACCATCTGATTGATACATGTGCAAATACAGTTAGCAATCTTTTCTGCTTGCAGTCTTAATCAGTGAAGAGCTTTAGGTATGCTCTAGAATTTTGAAAATTCTTTTGGCATTCATTTACCTTCCGAAGAGGAATGCTTAGATGAGAGCTAGCCTGCCCTGGCTATAGCCATATCCTTAGGAAATGTATTCCTAGTCATTCTATTTTTAAGCCTAATTGTTAAAAATAGACATGTGGAAGTTTCATCGTTAATTTATTTGTTCCTTGGGTAATTGTTTCTTGGTGCAATTGATAAAGTCAATATAGAGAATAAATTGTCACAACAAACATTTTATTTGGTTGCGTTAGCTAGAAGCAGGGGGAATAAATATTCCTGAAGAATTTAAGATAAAATCTTTTATCAGACTGATTAGTAATCGAAACAGATTTCTCTCTGAATATAATGTAATTGTGGCAATGGGGAATTATAAAACCAAAGTGTGGGTGGGGGATTACTTTGGAAGTAGTATTGTTTAAAATCAGTGGGGATGACTTTGAAAGGACCAGAGTTCATTAGAGTACACACTTTGCATGTAACTTAGGTTTACAAGTGTAAAGGCTCTTAGGCAGGATGGCTGACAAGCTCATTAAAACAGAAGTCTGTCTAGAACTTCCTCTTTTCCCTAGAATTTGGAGGTGGAGGTTCTTGCTGTACTTTCACTGTTTTCACCAAGAATCAGCTTAACAGAGGTGAGCTCCACTGTCTGCACCATGCCCAGTTTGAACCTGGGAGGAAGCTGAAGTCTTTTCTTAACAATTGTCCTGGTCTTCATAGATGCTTAGACAATCTCTAAAGCTCCGCACGATGTTGCATCATGATGTAAAATATTTCCACTCCCCATTGTAGAAGGATAAGAGTTTCTAAGGAACACAAACTTTGGCTAACTACAAGTACAACCAGAATTTGTTTGACCCCCGTGTATGTGAGCATTCTTAAGTGTCATAACCCTGGCACTGGTATTGCTTTCTTGTTATGGAAATAGAATTTTTGAATTATGGAGATACTGCCCCAATAACCTGTATGGCTTAGAAATGCTACGCCTAGAATCTAAAATAAAAAAAAAATTAATTAAAATTATCTTTGGCGTATGGGTATACACTGCATTTTTCTTTATTTCTTTTCTACAGCTAAACTGGAATGAAATCCCATGTTTACACAATACCGGTTTTACTTCTCCTGTCTCTTCTCGAAGGCCGTGCAAGCTATTTGAGTTACCCCTTCTCTCTAGAGGGAGTGTTGGTCTAGTCCAGGGGTCGGCAACCTTAAGCACTCAAAGAGCAGTTAGACCCATTTCCCACAGAAAAGAAAACACCAGGAGCCACAAAACTCCTTTGACATCTAAAATGAAGATAACACTGCGTATATCGTTTTTTACCTTTATGCCATGTATAAAAAAAACTATAGTCTTTTTTTATACATCCTGATATTATACATCTTCATCTGGATATTTTCCAGCAAAGGCTGTGTGTATATTCTGGAAATGACTTGCAACATTCGACTTTTTGTTGTTTGCCAATTTCTCATCACATATTAAACATACTGGTAAAGCAGTCTCGTCAGCAGTGAAAGCAAATGAATCTGCCCATATACCATTCTGTTTTCTTCTGAAACTTTTCTTTTCTTGGATTTATCCATGGTTGGCCTACCAGGGTTCGAAAAGTTCAATAAACCGCATGCCAGCGGGTCTCGCACATTGGCGGTTGTGACGCATATTTTGAGCGACAGGGAGCCGCAGCAGAGGGATGAAAGAGCCACATGCGGCTCCGGAGCTGCGGGTTGCTGACCCCTGGTCTAGTCAAAATTATCCTCTCTGGAGGGAGTGACTAACCTGCCTCCCCCAGACTGGTCTTGCCTAATGTCAGATCGGCTGGATCTGGCCTGAGATCCCTTGGGCTCAACATTTTTTGAACTTTAACAAGTGGGGGGGAATTCTCTCCCTCCCCTGCCCCCCATCCCCCTCTGGCATGTCCCAGAAAGGGATAGGGACTGGACACATGCAAGGTGGAGTTGCAAATTTCAATTTCACTTCTGTGGGGAAGGGTGGCTCTTTGTGCATTTTTCATAGCCTAGAGCTGGCTACTTGGGGGGCAGAGGGGGGGAGAACACTGGAGTCTGCACTCTTCTAGTTGGATAAGGAAGGCTTCGGGCATGCAAAAAGGAGTCCTAAACTGGACTTTTCACACATCCCAACCAGGTTGGGTTGGTTTATTCAAACCCCTGGATCCCAAACACCTAGAGAAGCACTCTGCCTGCAGACTCTCCTACCTCTGTTTCTGCATTTAGCCTTCCTTAAAGTGGTGATGTAGGTGAGGTCATAGCAGGTTTGGTGATATGTAATACAGGCCCATGAAGGATGCTCAGAAGTAGTAATGTTTAGAAGAAAGTTCTCCTGAGACAATCCCACAGCTGAGTCAGAATGCTATAATTCTCAGTTACTCTGGAGGTCACAGGCCAATTTCTTGAAGCTCAGCTGGTGAACTCTATGGGACCAGACTCTCCCCAATTACAGAAAAAAGCAGATCATTGCTGAGGAGA